GCAGATGATGAGAAGCGTTGGTAAGATTCAAACAACAACGAAAAAGCATTGATAAGATCCAAGAATTGATGATAATCCTTGATGATTCTTAAGGTGGTATTCACAAGATTGTTCTCCAAATTTTTATTTTCAATCCCTTATTCTTGCATGGATCGATTATTTTTGAATTTGTTTTGAATTTGATCCATCGGGATGCCCTAACTTTTTCCTAAGTTAAGTTTTTATCTGCTTTGACTTAGTGGGCTTTCTCTATGTTTCTCTTATTTTTTTAAATTTCTACTTTTTTTGCTTTTGATTTTGACAATTTGCAACTGTCGTGCTGATTGTTGTAAACTTCGTCTTTATTGCTTCTTCGATCTTGATTGATGTACCGAGGAGAAAGATGTTGGGAACAATGTCTTAGTTGATTCCTCAATCCTGGACGATGAACACGAGGTTACGGATACACTCGAATATTTGCTTAGATCGTTTTCTCAATGATGTGTCGAGGAAAGAGATATGCTTGAACCTTTGCTTAAATCGTTACCTCGATGATGTATCGAGAAAAGAGATATGATTGAACCTTTGCTTAGATTATTTTGATTCTCTCGGGATTTGAACGTATCGTCGAATTAATTGAAATCTACCTTGCCCCTGGTTAAGATTAAGGGTTTTTTAGAAAATAGAAAGAACTCATACTTCTGGATGAAGGGGGTTAACTACGGATTAACTTCTTATATCTCCACTATTTAGGAATTGAAACAATGTCTTACATCGTCAACTAAGCCTTACTATTAAAAAGCATACATCACCAAAATTTGATTATTTTGTATTTTCATCATTCTCCATTGAAGTTTGTTAATTTGAAAATGGAAGATAGAAAAATAAGAGTGAAAATGGTAAGTCGTTGATTATTTGTGGAAAGCGATAGAAGAGTGGATACAAATGAATCGATTTCAAAAACATGTATGCTTATTTTATTAGAATTACAAACCAAAAGGTACAAATTTATAACAAATAAAACTTAGCAAGAAAGGAATTACAATTTGCAATAATAAAGCCTAATTATCCTGGAGATAAGCTTCTGTAATGATCCACCAATCAGGGCAAGGGATTTTCCATCATATGCGGGCTATCTTCTTCGAAAGTTTATTCCTTATTGTCGATTAGCTCTTGTACTGCTTCTTTGAATGAGTTGCACTCTTCAATCGAATGCCCAATTACCCCACCATGAAAATCACATTGAACATTCGGGTTATACCAAGGAGGAAACGAAGCCTCCATGGATCTGGTTTGTCTAGGGGTTATTGATGAATTTTGAACCAGATATGACCATAATTGACTGTATGTCATAGGGAACGGGTCAAACTGACAATTTTCCCCTTTTTGGTTGTTCGGATGCCTGTGCTGATTTGGGCGTTGATGGTGATTGTTCCGATTCCGAACCTGACGTCAACGTTGAGATGCAATCTTAGCATGCTGGTTCTGTGGTATAAGCCATGGCTACTGGTGTTGAGGACCAGAGGGTAGTTGTCAGTATTGAGCATCTGCTGTATACGAATATTGATGATATGGCGTAGGAGACAGAGTTTCTGGAGCTTGGTAAGTTCCCCAGATAGAATTTGTTTCATTTTCTTCTTCCTCTTGGAAGTCTCTAAGGGATTCACTAGTCAAGATACTCGAGACGCTTCAGATATTTCTAGTTTTGATGTCGTTCTCGATGTGTTCCCTATCCATTACTAGGTCGGAGAAGCATGATGGTATACTGCCCAACATTTTTTCATAGTATTGTCCCTGTAGGGTGCTCATGAACACGTCTACCGTCTCCTTATCAAATAATGGCGGTTGTACTCGAGCAGCCATTTCTCTCCATCTTTGCGCATATTCTTTGAAAGATTTGTTACTCCTTTGAGACAAATCTTGCAATTGCATGCAACTTGGATCCATGTAAGTGTTGTATTGATAATTCCTCTGAAATGCTACAGCCAAGTCATTCCATGTGAGCACATGGTTTCTTTCCAATTGTGTATACCATTCCAATGATGCTCCACTAAGACTGTCTTGAAAATAGTAGATAAGTAATTTGTCGCCGTGTGGGTATTCTGCCATCTTCCTAACATGCATCTTCAAATGGGTCCTAGGGCAACTAGTCCCTTTGTATTTTTCAAAATATGGCATCTTAAACTTCGAAGGAAATACCACGTCTTCAACCAAACACGAAGCAGAAGTATCAAATCTATGAGTATCTTGTCCTTCTATGGAGCCAAGCCTCTTTTCCAGCATGCAGTATCTTTTGGTGTCCTCAAGATTTTGGGATTCTTTAGCATTCACGATTAAGTTTACCCCTTGAGGTTTTGGCGTAGGGAATGCAAATTGATGATACTCGATGGATTCATGAGATGGAGTATACCCGTCTTGAAAAATGGCATGTTCTTGTACAACAAGGTTCTCCATTGAAGCTCGTATAGGCTGAGGTCGAGCCTGAGTGTTTTCTTAAGGTGTAACGATGTCTTTAGTTGTGGATTTTCGGCCTTCTTCCATTGTTGTAGATAACTTTACACTCGCTTCGTGAGTTATCTCGAGTTCGTTCTGTGTATCTAGGAATCACCTTATTGGACTATGGTTGGAAGTTTTTTGTGAGAGGAAGAGATATAAGTTTCATGCAGATGGATGAAAATGCTTGGGTATGCAAAAGTGTATTTTTTTGGTTTTTAGGGTAAGAAAGTTTCATGGATATGTAATGCGATGTAGACGTAGGGGTACTCTATTCGAGTATAATGATAGACGTGAAGATACCCTACACTGACTTAGAGATTGAGATAGGAAGAAACTCCTTGAGGATTATGACCAATGAAAGACGACGAGGAGTCCCTACAGGATAGGGGTGACGATATAGATGGAAGCCATACGGGCTAAAGATAGCAGTGGATGAAGGGATAACCCTTGCGGGTTTGTAGATTGTAGTGGGATTTGTGAAAGGTATTCTTAGAAGGTAGGTTCTTAGTATTGGCCTACGGATATTCTGCCCTCCCCATAAGGTGGCTTCCTTAAGGGTGTCGTGAATGACACTAGAGGGAAAGGCATAAGGGTCTCCCTTAAACGAAGTCTCTTTACAGACCGAAACTTTCGTCTCTAGGTCATGAAAGGTCTCATCATGAGTATTTGGCTTAAAGGTCGTACAAAAAGTCATATGTGTCATCCCAAAGTCCTACTTCCCAAGAGGATGCCTCTCGAGAGGTATTCCTTTTGCAGAATTCTACCGACTCTAGGCGAAGTCGTCACATAAACTCATAGGATTGATGTAACCCCTTGGCTAATAGACAAACCTTCTTTCTAAGGGTTTTTGAAAATATTTTTTTTGCGAAAATTAAATCACACCACATGTATAATAATATAATGAAATAATAAAAATAACCAAATAAAGAAATAACTAAATAAGCAGATAAATGAATAAATAAATAAATAAATAAAGAAAAATAAAAAATAAAAACCCAAAAATAAGAAACCCTAAAACCTAAAGCAAAGACTTTTAAATCTAGGGTTGAGTCCCCAACAGAGTCACCAGCTGTTGCAACTGGTTTTAAATACAGAGTCTCCATCCTTAATTTTTATCCTAAAGGAAAGGAGTATAAAGGAATAACCCTAAAAGTTTCATAGATTCTAGGTTTGACTCGGTTCTAGACGAGGGGAAGGTGTTAGGCACCCCTTATCTATCTTGTTCGCATGGATGCTAAGTTTAGAAGCACTTTTTAAGAAAATAGGGTTTAAAATATTTTTTAGGGGAAAAGGGTTTGTTATTTTAGTTAGGGGGACTCGCCACAATTTTTATTGTATGCCTACGTATCCTCTTAGGAGGAATCAGAGTCTCATTTCGTAGTTCACGGGGTTGTTTATATTTATGGATTGCGAAATATATTTTGAATTTCACACGTACGTGGTCTAAGAGTATGAATAGCGGAGTTTGTTAGACCAAATACACAGTTAATTTAAGTATATTCGTTTTCCTTTTCAAAAATTAATTGTTTGAATTAATTTATTACGAAAAACAATTTGGATGTTTTGTCAGAGTATTTTTTATACGTATAACAAATGAGTCTGATATAGCCTTCTCATCATGTGGCCAGATATTGGTCACATGTCGGTTAATCCGGTGAATTGGGAATTTTAATATTTTGATTTTGAATAATAAATCGGTAAACGACATGTCGACCGATTTTAATTACTCAAAGATGGACATCCTATTATTTATAAAAAAATGAATTAGTTAGATTAAGAAAAGATTATTTGTATTTGTATTTTTATTAATTTAAGTGACAAAAAAACAGTCAAATAATTTCAATGCAGTAATTAACCTAATTATGAAAAAAACAATGATTAAGGCTAACAATTAAAGAAAGATTAATAAAAAATAATATGTATTAAAATTGTTGCTTTATGTTTAAAGATGAACGTGTCTCCACGTGACCACACTAGTGGTCTTTATCCAAAGCAGTAGGTATTGACATTACCTCTTTAATTATTTTGAATAGAAATAGAAGCAAATAATATAAGTTTAGCAAAAGTGTTAATGTATAACTGGGCCGAATTTTGTAAAAAGGAAAATTAGTCCTTAAGCCCAACTAATATGAAACTCTAAACCAAGACTGATAGAGAGAACAATTAAAAAAGGTGAAAGAACAATAGCTTGTGATCTATGGAGGCACTCCCCACGTTTCTATATTGAATTGAAAATTATTCTCATGAACCGATTAGATAATGACATTTGGCAGACTAAAATGAAAATAATATAAGAAACAAATAAATAAATGTAGAAAAGGAATATGAAACAACACTAATATTAATCCTTCTCTCTTTTAGTTTCCATGCTCAATATTCGGTACATAAAACCAGCAAAAACTCTCTTCTTCCTTCATACTTGCAATCTCACCCCCAAAATTCCAATACGCAACTTTCACTTCGTGAGATAATACATAAATTCAAGATCCAAAAGCTGGAAAACTTAATGACTCACGATACCTGAATTAGTGGCGCCGGCGGCTGGTGCATGGTGTTGATGTTCGTCGGACCGCGTCAGATTTGGGAGTCGATTTCGTCGCGGGGAATTTGCGATGGATGGAGCTTGGAGGTGGTTTGGTGGACGGAGTTATCTCACGGCGGTGTTGGCAGATCGGGGAGGTGAAGAGTTTTATTTTCCTTTGCTTTAAATTCCTCCCTTCTGTTTTTGCCATTCCACTTTTGTTGCTGTAACGGTAAAAAAGGCGACGCATTTTGAAGGAGAGACCGACGAATTTGATGTTACTTCTTCTGATCGAAGAAGGATCGGTGTTGAATGACATGGAGCGGCTGCACGGTATGCATCGGAGAAGGATCAGCGTTGGACTTCACGGCTTCAGCAGATGTGTTGTTGGACACGGCAGGCTCATGGCAATCTTAGCAGGTTAGAATTGTGTAACATAAAAGGACTTTTGACAAAGAAGAAAAGATTTTTGACTTCGTTGGTGAGTTTTTACATGAAGGGTGAAATTGTTGATAGTGAGTATGGAGTGTGAATTGGTCACTGAATGGATGGCCTCTGTGTACCGTAAAAGTGTGTGTGAATTCCCCCCTATTGTAATGTTGTTTCATCCCCCATTTTACTGTTCGTTTTTCCCTCGCTTTATAGCTTTTTTGAATTAGCTCCATTAGGAAAGAAATTAAGTTGTCTGTAACTTGTATTGGATAATTGTTGTACCCTAAAATTTTCTCGAAGGCATAAGATGGGCGAAATCAATTGATCAGTTGACCTAAAATCAATTATATTGGACAAAAAGTCAACTGTGATCAATTTATAGTCAAATTTCATAATTTTTTATTCATATCAACATTTTTAACTCATATATGTCAATTGGTCAAGTTTTGATCATAATTCCTCAAGAAATTTGATCAAATCACTAAAAGGGCAAAATAGTCAAAATTAGGGTTTTGACTGAAAATGCTCAGTTTTTGACTTTTGACCAAATACATGACTTATTGGTTTGAGACATAATATCAAGGGCTCAAATACATCATTTTGACCTAATGTCATGATTCAAAACATTTCTCATGATCAATTGATTGATAGTTGAAATTTGGTCAACTGATGAAAAAGTTAACTGTACATTGAAAAGTCAAATTTTGACTTTTTGATCAAAATCAAGTTTCAAAATTTATATTTCATCAAGACATGTCAAAATATGAAGATTGTTCATCAAGAGACCAAAAGTCAAAATCATCCTTGAAAAGTCAAAATTCTAAGACTTAGAAATTTTTCTAAGTGTTAGAAAGTTAACATTTTTTCATGACTTTGTGCCAAATTTTCACCATGATGCAAAATGATTCAAGGAAAACATCAAACATGAAAGTTGTACATATCAATGAGGTCTAAAACATTGCAGGGCAGCACTTTTTCTAGAAATGCTTGGATTTTAAGTTATAAATTTATGAAGACATGTACATGAAACAAAAATACTTAGTGAAATTTTGCCCTAGTTAGGAAGATTTTTTATCTAACTTCTTGGCCAAGTTTCACATGGTTCCAAAGTGATTCTTCAAAAATGTCCAACATGAAGGTTTTAGAGGATGTTACAAGATTTCCAAAATTTCCAAGAACTCATTGAGATCATTCTTGAGCTAAGAGAATCGAAGGCAATAAGTTAGGCATTCATTCTTGATTTACAAGGCAGATTTGTGAAGAACATTTGATCCAATCTTCAAGTGTGCTGTAAAAATCCCACTTTGCAGGCTTCTAACTTGCATTTCACTCCATAATTAAATGTTTACACAACTATTAGAGCTCTGATCCAAGCATTTGAGATATTGTCCAAGTGATTATTCCATTAATGGCACAAAGGTAACACTTCCATTTTATAAAAGCAAGCTTTATTGCAAAAGTTAATGCATAGAGCTCATAACTTGTTTCAACTGAACACAAGCAAAGTCAAAAACCAAAAGCAACATGGCTAGAACCTCCTACCAACTCATACCATACTTATACAACACATTGAAACTTATTTTCCACTTTTCTTCAAAATCAAGTAACATAGTCATAACTCTATATCACAGATCTGTCAACTTCAAACCCTAAGACCTCTTGCTTATAACTATACAAGTTATTTACAAGCAAAGACATGAATGCTCAAGCCCTGAAACACTCCCAAACATAAAACCATCAAAAACACCTCAAAACATGCCATTTCTGAGTTTTGAATCCAATCTCCAATCTCACTCATGCGTTTCTTGGCCTTTTGCTTTCAAAATATTCTAAACATCATATAAAAACAATCCCAACATCTTTTAAAGTGCTGTAACACCATTTTCCTCAACCCCCATTACCAAAAAATAGAGCTTGCATCTTGACTTCTCTAGCACGACTCAAACACTCTCAGCATCAAGTAAGGGTTGCATTAGCTTCCTGGGAACTTGAGGAAGCTAACCTGATCATCATCATCACTTGAAACAAGCTCAAACTCATTTCACGATTTCCAGTTTTTGAGGTATTTTTCTGAACTTTCATCTCTTCATTTAGGCATTGTTAGACTTGCATTTTCAAAGACAAAATGTAGACATTATTGCCATAAAGCTAACCATATCCATAGTTTTCATTTATATTGCCTGAGCTTAGAGAATTTTGAGATTGAAATTTCTGGAAAAATTAGGGTGATTAGGGCCAGCAAAATTCTCATTCATCTTTGATTTATAGTCTTAGTGATTTATATCTTTAGAATCGTGATAGAATTTGCTACAACTTTCATGTTTACATTTTCCATTTTTGTTGAGAAATGAATGAGATACAAATGGTCTGGCTGGCGTGAGGTTGAAGATGAAGTTCAGGCCACGAAAGTGTTTTGTATTATATATTTATGGTTTTATTTTATACACCGGATGTATAGCCACCCCAGTGGTAAGACAACGCGCGTTTATTGCTCAGGGCGTGGGTTCGAGCCCCAGCGCTGCTACTTTTTTTCCATATTTTTCTAACATTTTCTTTTGTTTGTTTCCAACCAGCGCGTTTGGGCCTTCCCCTCCTGGGCCTTGTATTTTTTTTACTCAATATAACCCCCCTGATTGCCATAACAACACAGTCCACTTCACATTTTTTTTAGTTATTTTTCTCTTTGATCTGACCAAAAATCATATTGGGCCCAAACTAAAACAAAATTATTTTACTTCCATACACCTTAAATAAATTTCACACCCTTCTGACTTTTATTTTATTTTCTTATCTTATTTTATTTTATTTATTAATATTATTTTTATTTTTATTTTTATTAGTAAAAAATCTCAAAAAAAATATTTTTATTATTTATATATTAGTATACTTTTATTTCATTAAGATAAAAGACCAAACAATATTTTATTATTATAAATTTAATCTCTTTTCCTAATATTAGACCTAGGTTTTAATTTATTTTAATTAAATTAACTTAGAATTTAGGTTTTATTTTAATTAATTTTTGTACTAGTTTAATTAAATAAAAAACCTTTTTCATAAAAAATCATAAAAACAATTCCTTGATTAAATTTAATTTTTTTTCTTAATTAATTTAGGTTTAATTTTCTTAATTTAATTAATTATTTCTTTTAGTTAATTAGGTCAAAACCAAACCCTTTCCTCAAAAACCAAACAAATTCCATTTCTTTTTACAATTTCTTATCCTTGTACATTATATTCATTTCAATTCTTGTACATTTATTCAATATGGTTGTAATAGATAATTAGGGTTTATTTTTCTTACAATCCCCATTTATATATTTGTATACCCCATTCCTAAAAATGATGTAATAGCGTAGGACATTTATATTCCGTAATTTATCGCTTTCATATAAATGCTAGTAATTAGAGTTTGTATGGCAAGATAAAATCAATAATTAGAAAACCCTAATCCAAGATAAACTCAAGCATGAAATGCAATACATTTGCCCATTTTACACCTCTAGGGTTTACTCCACTTTGTTGCCTTAAAAAAGGTCATGTTATGCATGTGATACATCTTAGCAAAAACAATAAAAAATACAAGATCACAGTCCCTCGATGACGCTTCGAATGTTGCCTTCAAAATAATCTTAGACCCCTTTAGAAAATGCTAAGGTATCTCACAATATTGCATCTTATGACTATACTATGACCCACGCCTATCCATTTACATCCAAAGATAGGACCACTTACCGATCAATGGTGAGATGGTAATGTCAAAGGAAGAGAGAAATGAATAAAAGACTTTTGAATAGGTAGGACGTTCTTAGTTGCTTGCTCACAATCCATCTTCAAAACAAACATCTTTCAAAATACACCAAACACTTTAAAAAAAAACATGAAATATTTTCAAAAGTCCAACACTTTGTATACATTCTTATAGAGACGAGAATCATTACAAAGTTTACCTAAACAAAGGCGCTTTTCAAAATACTTTCAAAACCCACCACAAACACATTTCAAACAAAGCAATTTCAAAAGTGATCTGGAAAGCAGCTAAGAGCCCATAGATAATTATGGATAAAAAGGGTGATAACACCTTCCATTTTCATAACCTACCCCCCCCCCCCCCCCTGAACTCAAGAAAATGTCTCAAAGGTCTTTCCTGTTCTTTTCACCCTTTCCTTATTGGATAAAAGAAAAGCCGGTGGCAACTCTTGCTATCCGCAACAATTGCAATAAAACACAAAACACCCAAGTCAGTTCTCCCACCGTATTACAGAACTAGCGACTCTGTTGGGGATATACTTAATAGTGAGGTTACCTTAGAGCTAGATCACATTTAATTGCTTTCATTGTTTGATTTGTTTGCTTTGCATTTATGGATCCTTGTTTGGGTTTGTATTGATCTTATACACGGATCGGGGAACACCTTTAGGTAAATAGCAAAAATTATGGAGATTGTACGGCATAAACCAATATGGTTGAGACAATAGCTATGTTAGTGTGACACATTTGTGGGTACCGGTATCCCTTATGGCGAATTAAGGAGAATACATGACCGTTGTCTGGTGTCGTGAAGCACTAGCGAACCTTAGAACCTTTAATTTAACAACTTGGCCATTAGGTAGTAGTGAGGTAGCCGGCTTTAGTGCAGTCAGAAGTTGGTTGATACTCGATACTACACTCATTGAGATCTGACTCTTGGGATATTTCAGTCGCCAACAAAGAGGTTTGCGCTAAAACAATGCCCAATGGAGAAGGATCAATGATATTGAGATCTCTAGAACCCGATTACTTTCTAGGACAGGTTGAGCCAACTAAACTTCAAGAGGGCAGTTACCTATGAATCCATGCAAGCCTAAACCAAAGGAATTGTATGCCTTGTGTGTATATGTTTACTTG